TACAGTCCAGTTTCTCAGAGGTAGATAAGAGGAAACTAAGAGCGAGAAGGGTTATTTATGTGGTTTGGGTCTCATACAGCTAGTGTGCCTCTTCTTTCACCAAATCCCAACCTCATAATTTATCCAGTAGGGAGGCATCCATTTGGAAAATTGCCACAGTGAGAGCGCATACTTTCTGTTTAAGTGTGTGCTTCACTGGGAGTATTAGCTGTCTACTTAGCTTTTTAGGTTCTCCTTTAATAGCACATTTTATCTTTTAATGCTTCCTGGGTATGATATGAAGTATATGTCCAGTGAATGCTGCAGAGAGTTGCCTACTGCTAAGTATTCTTGGCAACAGAGATGGCATTATTCTTTGACAGGATGTGCTTGGGAACTAAAGGGTGTAATATCGTCTACTTAGGAACTCTTGAATAGTATGGCCTGCATCTGCTGTGTGAATGAGAATTGCTGTGCCATACCTGAATAGTCAATGCCTGGAGGTACCCTCAAAAGGAAGGTAGAGAGTCTGGATAGTCTGTCTGCCAGGACCTGCCAGGTCTGGTGCCCCAGGCTGTGTGCCCTGGAGTTCCTTTGCCATTTGTATTAGTTTTCTTGGGCTTCCATAACAAAGTACCACAAATTAGGTGGCTTACACACAGAAATTTATTCTCTCTTCTGGAGGCTAGAAATCCAAAATCAAGGTGTTGGCACAGCCTTGCACTCTCTGAAGCCTCTAGGGAAGACTCCTCCCTTGCCTCTTCCAAGCTTCTGGTAATTGCTGACAGTCATTAGCATTCCTTGGCTTGTAGATGCATCACTCCTGTCTCTATCTCCATGATCACACGGTGTGTGTCTAAATTTCCTTCTTATAAGGACACCAGTCATTGGATTAGGGCTCGCTCTAGTCCAGTATGACCTCCTCTTAACTTGATTACATCTGCAAAGATCCTGTTTCCAAATCAGGTCACGTTTACAGGTACTGTGTGTTAGCTCTTAAACATATCTTTTTGGAGGAACACAGTTCAACCCATAACAGTCTGCCCTCTGACCCCCCAAAATTCATGTCCTTCCTATGCAAAATATATTCACCAAGTCCCAACACACCCCCCAATTCTTAATTTATTCCAGCCTTAACTCTAAGTCCAAAATCTCATCTAAATATAATAATTCAAAAAGTCCCCAATCCCAAATTCTAAATCATCTAAATCAGAAATCAGTGAGATTCTAGGTATAGGCTGTTCTGGGGCATAATTATTCTCTGTCCACAGACCTGTAAAACTTGAAAACAAATTGTTCACAAAATACAATGAGAGGGGACATGTGGCTAGAGGGAAGGCCACATTTGGTGGAGAGTCGGGGAGAGTGGGAGGGGACTCAAGACCCTCATAGATTGACTACATTAAACCTTTGATGGTTTGTCAGTGATGTCTCACTGCTATTGACATTTTCATGTTTGGCTTTTCCAGCCTTTGAAACTAAGCCATATCATGTTTTATGAAATGGACATTCCACACACCCAAGTGGCTGTAACTGATACTGCTAAATGTATTGTAAAAATTGATATTTTAAGTATGTGTGATGCTTTTCTTAATTGTAAGGAATGTTCGGACAGAGGTACTGGGACAAGTGCCCAGCAAGGCTCTCCCAGCCCAGCCATGTAATATCAGTAAAGCAGATGGGGGGATGGATGGGGGGATGGATTAACATCCTGATAAAGAGCTGGTAGAGATAGGGGTACTTAACTATTTACAAGGCTCTACGGTGTGCTCTCCCACTTGGGTCAATCAGTCCTAATAAGCCTCTTGAGCTGCAAATGTCAGTGACCGACCACTATGCACACTAGAGCACCAGTCAGACATCAGTCAAACTTCCCACCTTCATGAAGGTGGACACTTAACTCTGTAGATGTGGCTTTCTCAGAGGTTGGAGTCTGTGCCAGCACCTTATGCTTCTTGGGGGTGTTAGAACACTGAAGTCCCTGAAGAGGCCTGGACTTCGATGATGAACAGATTAGCTAATTTAAAGGCTGGTAGTGCACTGAGCCACTATGGCTGTGTATCCACAGAGAAAACTGTTACAAACCTTATATGCAAAATAAAATTCCACCAATGGTCCAAGTTGTAGGCTGTGGTGCTTGTCCAGTAAAACACTCCCCCAAAATACATCTTGCTACATTTTCACTGACTCATGAGCAATAACCAACAGGATGGCAGGGTGCTTCAGTACCTAGCAGCAGGAACAAGTCCTAAGCCCCTGGGGGGTCACACATTGTGATAACAGATTGTATAGGATCCCTTACTCCTGTTGTCGCCCATGTGGACTCCAGTGGAAAAGGACCCTTTGACAATGAACATCACTGAAACCAAGAGATGTTAGTTTAGGCTGATCAGACCTGAGCCATCCAGATAAGACCATAGACCTCTGGATATACCATGACACAGGATGTGCGTCTATATTCCAGTATTGAGACCAAAATCAAAGCTTAGTGATTCAGGCTAGGGAAGCCTGACAAATGTGCCTAGAGTGCCAATTCCACAGTTGAATGGTGTACTAGTTTCCTAGGGCTCCCTTAACAGAGCACCACAACTTGTGTGGCTTAAAACAGCAGGCATGTATTCTCTCACAGGTCTGAAATTATACCGGAACCAAACCAGTGTTCATCTGCCCCATACACAACAAGCCAGTAAAGATTGACACTGAGCTTCGGCAGTGAAGAAAGAGAAGCTATTTATTGGTATGGTGCGTCCCAAGAGAATGGGGAGCTAATGCTCAAAGTCTCAAACTTACAGGTAATGCCTTCTAAGGGCAAAATTTGGGGGAGGGGTTTCCCGAGAAGGTGGATGCTATTGATTGGAGGCCTAGGAAGTAATGTTAACAGATAATATTTACTTCTGGTGCCACTTCATCTGGTCCCACAGAGGTCTGTTCTATCTCAAGAGGCTTGGAATCTGAAAAATATCTTTATATATGTTAGAGATTTCATTAGGTACACCTGGTGATTATGTGTTTAGGAGCGTGCTAATCAGCTGCTTGTATCTGCTTGTGTGTGCGTAAGCTAGTGGGGTTGCTTTCCTTCACGTTCCTTTGAATGATACAAGCATTCCTATCTCTTGGTCCTGGATCTGTGTGTTCCCTGGCTGGTCCAGCTGTGCCTGGGAACAATATGACCCCTAGTGTTCATTATTTCATCCGAACTAACAAGATGAATGCCCGCTTCAAAAAAGGTGTCAACAGGGTTGTTTCCTATTAGAGGTTCTAAGAGGGAATCTGTTCCATGCTTCTCTCCTAACTCCTGATGGTTTTTGGCAGTCTTTGACACCAATTGGCTTGTAGCCATATCCCTCCAATCTGTCTCCACATTCACAAGGCATTCTCCCATGCCTCTGTTTCCTCATAAGGACACCAGCCATCAGAGCCCACCCTAATCCAGTATGACTTCATTTTAACTTAACTAATGACATCTGCAAAGACCCTATTCAAAAATAGTCACAATCTGAGGCTCTTAATGGACATGAATTTGGAGGCAAGGAGATCCTATTCTACTATTCTACTCAGGCCAAAATGAACCATTTTATATTGTAACCGTATAATTCACGGTTCCCTAGTGGTCCCTGACATGTTCTTTACAGCTTACTCTTTCATAATTCCTTCAACAACCTCGCATCACACTGCATCATTTTGCAATGCCCTGCGGGCCAGAAAGAACCAGGCCCAGCAAGCCCCTGGGAGGAGCCCTGAGAGTACCTCTGTCCTCCACGGGACACTCTTCAGACGAGGCGTGGTGCCAGGGCTTATGGGAAACGTAGTCCTACGTTTCCTCGTCTCACACGGCGCAGGTTCAGGGAAAGGGTCTTCCATGTTCTCCGAGACTTGTGCGCATGTGTAACTTCGGTCTCCAGGTGTTTTACGCGGGTTTCCCCGCCCGGCGGAGGAAATCCTGGAGCGTTCCGGGGGGCTGGCGCTGCGCGAGTAGGGGCGGTGGGTGAGCCCAGGCGGGATGGGCGAGCGCCCGCGGGGGCGGCGGTGGGGAGGGGGCCAGCCGAAGGCGGGTGGGGACGGCCTCGGGGAGGGACGGCCGGGCCGGGCGCCTGTGTCCTGTGGGGGCCGGCGTCCAGGTGGGGCCGCGGCGTCGGCGGGGCTGCGGGCAGGGGGCTGAGCTGTGGATCCAGGTGGAGCCGGGTCTAAGTTGATTACTGCTGGCAAGATGACGGAGATGCGTGAGAGTAGGTTTCTTCATCTGTAAAACAAGATTATTTGCTACGTGGGGTTCTGAGGATTAAAATTTTTTACACATGTTTTTAAAATAGCATTTTCAGTTTTAACGTTCGGAGCAGAGCTTAGTTAATATTAGCTGTTAAGGTTTTTGAAAGATATTTTTCTTTTTCGTTGGCTAAATTTTATTTAATCCTAATAACGGGCTTTAATGTAACTGTTTTCTGTCTTGGCAGACAAAACGACTGAGGCTCAGAGAGCTCAAGTGAAATACTCAAGGTCTCACAGTTCTGGTAGACAACCCTGTCGAAAACCATCGTATTTCTCACAGCACCTGCTTTAGGGCCCAAGGAAACAACCCCAAAGTGAGCACTGAATCTCACCTTGTGGTCATGTATTTTGGGATTTCTTGGCATGTCAGAACCCTTGGATCAGGCTGCATAACTTACTGCACTGTCCAACTTTCAGCATCCTCAGTGGCCTTAGAGTTTAGGCAGATAAGTTCTGTGAGATTTGGATCCCTGAATCAAACTTCGAAATAAATGATTTTGTCTTTTAAGCCTAGGTTCCAGCTCCCTTGGAAGAAAGCAGCTTTTATGAAGTAAGAAGGAGGAAGCCCCAGGAACAGGAATCTCACCTTGAGGGTCACTCCTCGGACCTCAGACTTCTCAACCACATCTTTAGAGCAGAGGCAGGATACTGCTAGAAAGGAGCAGGTCCTGGGTTTGCACAGCCTGCAGTAGCAGTTCTCTAATGTGCTCAGAATGAGCATTGCCTCACTGTCACCGCATCCAGAGGGCCTCACCATGATGAAAGGTCTGGACCAAGCTTCAGGAAATATAGGTGAGTGGGACACTTAGTGGTGGGTGAGGGGCAGATTGTGTGGAAAATATTAATTCATTAGAGGTTTCATGTCTGCATGGTCTGCAGGGAGAGATCCCTAGGCACAACTGAAGAAATTCTATCTCCAGCCTTTAATAAACATGCCCCGCCTTCAGCCTCCACCCACTTTTTCTAGATTTTGAGCTGCTCTTCTATGTCCCTCTAGGGGTATGCTGCCACTCCATCTACCCTGATTTTATAGAGGCATAGAATAGGGTCATCTGTGTCTGCTTAATTTCAGAGCTGAGAAACCTTGACTCTGAGTGTATAAGTAGCCTGCCCAGAGTCACCGAGTTTGTTAGAGGCAGTGCCAGGACCGGAAAACTATCCACGAGGTAAGTCACCCACCAGGTTCTATCGCAGCTTAGTTAGAAACAGTTTTTAAAGTAGGCCTGTCCATAAAGCAACCTCATCTTTTTCTGCAGAGTGATTTCTCTCTTAAGGGTAAGCAACTCAGTAGGAATGTAAGTAAACAAATATCTTGAGTATTTTTCCTACAACATTGATAGTGAAAAATAAAGATTTGTCTTTTGATATCTTTGTTAAATTAGTACTGGATTGGTTCTAAAAGAAAAATGAAATTTTTAAATCATTAGGAAATAAACCCAGTGAAAAATTGCTCAACCAGGCTCTACAGTTCCTGTCAGAGTCACACATGTGAATTCTCCCTGCACATGGTTCTTGCTAATTCTCGGGGGCCAAAGAACTTTTTCCTACAGGGTAACATTTGACCATCTGGTGGGCATGGGGTTTTAGGAGCTGAATCTCAAAAGTCTATAGCAGCCAAATCTCACATGACCTACTGTTTTCTTCTCCCATAGCTGTACATTCAGCCTTCTCTGTACTTTCCCAAAAGGAACAGAAAAAGAACAAATCCCAGGTGAGCTGTTTTTCATTTCTCACACTGTTTCCCATTGCATAAAACAATGAAGATAAAAATGATAAAAGCTGTCAAGGAATACATAGAGTTAACAGATCGAAAACAAGGAAAGGTCAGCATGTTAATTATGAGGAGATAATTATAATTGTTTTTCCATTAGTATATATATTACAGATTATATTATGTAGCAGTAATTTTTATAATAATAATTATTGCAAATTTATCTTTGATACTCTGTCCAAAAGGGAAATGCTTTGCCTTGACCATAAAAATAAAAGTAATTCTTCACAGAACACAAAGATTTCCTGGCCTGAAGTTTGAAAAAATTCTTTGTCTTCCTGAAAGTAAGGTAGTTGACAATCTGAATTAACAAGTCTGAGATGAATGCTGCCCATCATCTTCACCTCTGATTGTTCTTTAGCGGGTACAGAGAGGAGAAGGCCAAAGCATAACTTAGTTGATTCAAGCTGATGTTTTTGTTTTTTTTTTTTTAAAGACTTTATTTATTTATTTGGCAGAGAGATAGAGAGAACAAGTAGGCAGAGAGGCAGGCAGAGGGAGAGGGAGAAGCAGGCTCCCCGCCGAGCAGGGAGCCCGATGCGGGGCTCGATCCCAGGACCCTGGGACCATGACCTGAGCCGAAGGCAGCCGCTTAACCAACTGAGCCACCCAGGTGCCCCCTGATGATTTTTTTTTAAGATGTATTTATTTATTTATTTGAGAAGAGGGGGGCAGAGGAGAGAATCTCAAGCAGACTCCCACTGAGCATGAAGCCCCCCGTGGAGCTCTGTCTCACGACCCTGAGGTCATGACCTGAGCCAAAACGAAGAGTCAGACACTTAACTGACTGAGCCACCCAGGTGCCCCTCAGGTTGATGATTTCTTTTGTCTGCTTTACAGTATTGTCCTTTTCCTGTTGCCTTTTAGCAAAGCTTATCCTCATGTGATTATCTTTGGTCTGTTAAAATTCTTACCTTATTATTTCTTGACTGATTTTATATTCTGTGGATTTTTAACTATTTCACAGGTTGCACAACCACTCAATTTGAAATTCAAACGCTGAATGTTGTGCTTGTTTAAGTGAGAGCTATTGCTGGTCAGATATATTCTTACTGAGCAAAGCAAATTGTTGATTTTCTGTATGGTTTTTGCAAAGAGTTGGTATATTCGTTTCCTGTGGATACTATAACAAGTTACCACAGATTGAGTAGCTTAAAACAACAGAAATTTATTCTTTCAGTTCTGGAGGCTAGAAGTCTGAAATCAAGGTGTTGTCAGGGATGTGCTCCTGCTTAAGCTTCTAGAGGAGATTCCATCCCCCATCTCTTTCATCTTCTGGTGGCTTTTGGGAGAGAGGCAGGAGATAGAATGGAGAAAAAAACGAAGATGAAGAAAAATAAATATTTTGTAAGCCCTGTATCAGTGTTCCCCAGAGAAACAGAACCAATAGGATGTGTGTGTGTGTGTGTGTGTGTGTGCAGATAGCATATAATATAGACACATAAATACACATATGTATACGTTGGTTTTATGGAATTGGCGCATGTGATTGTGGGGCCTGGCAAATCTAACCAGCACACTGGAAACTCAGGACATAATGCTGCAGTCTTGAGGCAGAATTCCTTCTTTTGGGGGAAACATTAGTTTTTGCTCATAAAGGCCTTCAACTGTTTGGATGAGGCCCACCCACATTATTGAAGATAATCTACTTAAAGTCAACCCATTGTAGATATTAACCACATCTATAAAATACCTTCATAGCAACACTTAGGTAAGTGTTTTGTGAAATAACTGGATACTGTAGCCTATCAAGTTGACACATAAAACTAACCATTACCAGTCCTATGAGAAGATAACAGTGATCTGTTGAGTTGTATGTATGTGTTGTATGTATACATATATATGTGTTAATATATATGGGGTGTATGTGTGAGTAAATGCATATATACATGTATAAATATATACATATTTTATGATCATGTGACTAGTAAACAGTACTTGGCTGAATTGTTTTTATGCATGACATGAGATTTCCTTTTATATTGGGTATTTAACTCATTCACAATTACTGTGCTAACTGATGATGTTTAGTTTTAGTTTATTTGTATTTGTATTTTTATTTGTATTTTTATTTATCCCATCTTCTCTCCTTTCTTTAATTTTTTTGTATTTTTATTTATCCCATCTTCTCTCCTTTCTTTAATTTTTCTCTGTCGATTATATTTCTCCCTTCCAGTGGTTTGAAAATTCAGTATTTTTTTCCATTGGTTCTCCTGGAAACAGTTAACATAGGTTTATATTTGTATTTTTCCATCAACATCAAGAACTTTTATTTTCTAGACCTGACCTGATCTTTTGCATATTTTACTGTCCCTTCCTCCCACATCTCATGTTTTATAGAAGTGATCAGAATTGTTTTTTAATTTTTTTAATTATTTTTTTAAAATATATTTATTTACTTGAGAGGGAGTGAGAATGAGAGAGATCACAGAGGGAGAGAGAGAAGCAGACTTGCTGCTGAGCAGGGAGCCCGATGTAGGGCTCGATCCCAGGATCCTGGGAACGTGACCTGACCTGAAGGCAGACACTTAACCAGCTGAGCCACCCAGGCTCCCCAGAATTGTTTTTTAATATAAATTTTTTAAAATTCTTTATTTAAGTTATCTGGTTATTCTCTGTAATTTCCAAGGTAGTTGGATTAAAATGTCTACAGATAAGAGGCCAGTGAGCTAACACCTTGATCTTGGACTTCCAGCCTCCAGAACTGTGAGAAAATAAATTTCTTTTGTTTAAGCCATCCAGTGTGTGGTAGTTTGTTATGGGAGCCTTAGCAAACTAATAACATATGGTAATTATATTTTTAATTCTTTGAGGACACACCATACTCTTTTCCATAGTGGCTGTACCATTTTACATTCCCTCCAACGTGCACAAGAGTTTCAGTTTTTCCACAGCTTCACCAACGCTTTTATTTTGTTTGCTAATGGGTGTGAGGTGAAGTAACGTTCTTTTGAGTACTGTTAATCTCCAGTGTCTTTAAAAACAGTCGTTTCCTCTTTTTGGAATCATAATAATTACATAGTTTTGTTTTCTTTTTACTCACTTTTTCACTTCATCTGGTGCATGTCTTTTGTGTTACCCATTCTTAAATTTCTAGTGAACCTTCATTGTCCGTCTACATTTATATGTGAAGATTTGGTTTGATTCATGTAGGTAGCTGTTGTGAGTTTATTCAGAAATACAGAATGCTGTTTCTTTATCTGTTTTCTCTCCTCAGTAAAAGAACTGACTTCAAGGATTTATAAAGGGAATTGTTGGAAAGATATAACCTGGTGAATTTCCTTTTAGGTTATCAGCAGGGAGTATATAGGCAACTTTAAGGGACTATTGATTTTTGAAGTGGACATTTCCCATACTGTGGATTTACACCATCGTGATCTATCTCATCAAAGACCTGCCTTAAAACAAAACCAGTATCCATTTTCTTTCTGGCTGACTTGGCCATTGCTAGAGCCCCTGAAGCATTTACCTAAAACATTTTTTTTAATCTGGTTTATCCTTAAACTATCAGCTGTGTTTATACAGAGTGACAAATGCCCAGAGTGGTCTGACACTCCTTCAGTTAATTCCTCAGCCAATCAGTCAGCGCACTATCCACTTTGAGCTTAGATGATGGCTATATATACTATATACTGAATGCATGCAGACACATGCGTGCCACCCATAGCAGTTCTCACTTTGCACTGTCGTGTGGGGCTATAAAAATGGGCACATACGCTGAAACCATGCAAAGCAATCTTAATCATGGGGGAAAGTGGTAGTTCTGTGATCTTTAAATTTCTTTAAAAATATTTGTCAAAACATTAAAAATGTGTATAAAAATGAAAAAATACTGTAATATTTAGTACTAAGTACCTCTTCATTAAGATCCTTTGGATGTAGATTTAGAGTGTCTCAAATGGAGGCAGTTTCAACATTCCTACAGTCAGGTATTTCTTCTAAAACCCCATTTATATTTGATTTGAATTTCACTTCTAATGTAATCACTTTTCATTTCTTTGTTGCTCTTTCATCTTTGTTGGCCAGTTTCCTTTTGCAAACCGTTCAGCTATTTTTGCAAAATGCCATATTGCCAGGAGACAAGGAGGGAACATGTGTTTTGTTGTTTGTGTGTGGAATGAGTAACAGATGTGCAGTGATCAGTCACTGGTGGACTTTGAAGAAAAAATGACATGATTAATAATCATTCATGATGTTATTTATGTAGTGATTTGTGAGTTGAAGAGCAAGCAGCAAAGCTTGTACTTTATGTGATTACTCAGAGTTACCATAGTAACTGAAATCTGACAGTGTTGTGGGGGGACTGTTGTTACTTAACTAAATAAATTGTGGTAACTGAAATTTGTGCATGTCAAGACCGTACAAAGTATGGACTGCCTGTAGAGACAGACATTCAGACATATCTATATATTGCCACAGATTTGTGCCAATTTGATGCTTAAAAGTTTTCCTCTCTTAAAAGGGTGAGTCATCAAATACTTTGGAGAAGTCTTGTCTAAATGAACAATGCCAAAATTACCAGATTACGGCATTTTATATCTTTAAAGCTCCAAATTCAGTTCTCTCTTGATCTTATGCTATTATTTAATCCAGTTTGCATCCATACTAGATTGTAAGCTTCCTGAAAGTAGAAACAGTGTTTTATGTATTTTAATATCCACAGAAACTACGACACTTTCATGTATATAATATATCTTATGCTTGTGTGTATTTGTGTGTGTTGTGTTTTTTTTAAGATTTTATTTATTTGTCAGAGAAAGAGAGAGTGCACAAGCAGGGGGAGTGACAGGCAGAGGGAGAAGCAGGCTCCCCACCGAGCAGGGAGCCCTCTGTGGGACTCAATCCTAGGACCCTGGGATCATGACCTGAGCCGAAGGCAGACGCTTAACCGACTGAGCCACCCAGGCATCCCTGTATGTGGTTTTTTATTATTATTATTATTATTATTATTTTATATTTCTCTTTCTCCCTCCACATATAAAACAAAACAGGGACTATGGTAAGTCTCCTCTATAAACTTTTTCCAATAAACTCAATAGTAAACATGGTGAAGGATTGCTTCCTAAATATATTTACTCTGTCATAGAGTTTTGAGCACTTCTGATTGATCAGATATGTGTGTTACAGGGATCAATTTCATTTGAGGATGTGACTGTGAACTTTACCCAGGAGGAGTGGGGTCAACTGGACCCTGATCAGAGGACCTTGTACAGGGATGTGATGTTGGAGAACTATAGCATCTTCATCTCACTGGGTAAGGAAAACTTTTCCTGAGTAACATCAGCATGTCGTTTTGTTGTTATCAGAGCATGTGGATCTTTTTTTTTTTTTTAATTTATTTGACAGAGAAAGAGACAGAGAGGGAACACAGCAGGGGGAGTGGGAGAGGGCAAAGCCGGCTTCCCGCCAAGCAGGGAGCTCCATGTGGGGCTCGATCCCAGGACCCTGGGATCATGACTTGAGCTGAAGGCAGACACTTAACGACTGAGCCACCCAGGTGCCCAAAAGCATGTGGATCTTTTGTAGAGTTAATGATACTTAGGTTTGGACACCAGGAATATTGTTTTCTCACTTCCCCACTGAAAGATTCCAGTGGGTTCCTTCACTGTGCAGCTCCTGAAGCTGGACCTTGGTTTTTCTTCTGAGTTCCTAAAGCCAAGCAGCTTGTCCTATGTCCTTTATCATTTTTCATTATCAGGACATTGCATTACCAAACCAGAGGAGATCTTGAAGTTAGAGCAAGAAGGCACCATGGGTGTTAGAGAAAGAATTTGCAAGCCGGTATTACCATGATGAGTAATCCAGGGGAAATTAGATCCCAGGTGGTTGTTTCAAGTATGTGCATCTTTGGAGTGTTTTTAAGAAGCTCTGTTTGGAAGTGACTAAGGATGCTTAGCCTGCATACCTAAATTCACCAAAGATACACTCTCACACATATATGTTCTTTTTTTCAGTTGGCTTTTTAAGAGTTTACTCCTTTTTATTTGTACCTTGAAATTCATTTCCATGTCATATTAATATTTTATGTTGGTTAGTCTCCTTCCTGTGGCATTCTCAGCTTCATATTCCCTTCATTTTCAAGGACTTCTTTTGTTTTCAGGAATTAATTAGTTTAACCAGTATTAATTGAGCACTTGCTCCATGCCGGTCATGTTTTTTTTTTTTTTTTTTTAATAATTTTTTATTGTTATGTTAACCACCATACATTACATCATTAGTTTTTGATGCAGTGTTCCATGATTCATTGTTTGTGCATAACACCCAGTGCTCCACACAGAATGTGCCCCCTTTAATACCCATCACCAGGCTAACCCATCCCCCCACCCCCCTCCCCTTTAGAACCCTCAGTTTGTTTTTCAGAGTCCATCGTCTCTAATGGTTCGTCTCCCCCTCCGACTTACTCCCCTTCATTCTTCCCCTCCTGCTATCTTCTTCTTCTTCTTTTTTTTCTTAACATATATTGCATTATTTGTTTCAGAAGTACAGATCCGTGATTCATCAGTCTTGTACAATTCACAGTGCTCACCATAGCACATACCCTCCCCGATGTCTATCACCCAGCCACTCAATCCCTCCCACCCCCCACCACTCCAGCAATCCTCAGTTTGTTTCCTGAGATTAAGAATTCCTCATATCAGTGAGGTCATATGATACATGTCTTTCTCTGACTGACTTATTTCACTCAGCATAACACCCTCCAGTTCCATCCACATCGTTGCAAATCATGCCGGTCATGTTTTAAGTGAAAGAGATAGAGCAGTGATGAAATAAATCCCTTGATCTCATGGAATTTGTATTAGCAGGAGAGAGATGCAGGAAGCTGATTGCCATGAGAGTTGAGAGTAGAAGCAAGGAGACCAGTTAGGAAAAACAACACCCCATAGACTAGGTTTGAGGTAGTAGAGTGTGCAAAGTAATGGAATTCAGGCTATCTTTCAAAGGTAGGATTAACAAAATCAGCACCTAGATTCTAATTCATTCTCTCTGAACACTTTCATTCCTCAGGTAGTTTTTTGGAACAACAATCTTGTCTACCTGTTTTCCATGTCACATTTACTATATAATTTTTTTATTGAATACATCTTACTGTGAATTCCACTCATTGTGATTCATCCACTCTTACTGAATCCTTTATTTTCTATTCTTTGTTTATTTTACCCCTTCTGTCCATTTTGAAATATATATTTGTGAAGGACCAAATAAATATGTGTGTGTTCATTGCCAATTTTATTTTCCTCTCTTCCACCACAATAGCTTTGTTTGATTGGTTGGTTTGTTGTCACCTCTTTCCCCCAGCTCCTCAGAAAAGTAGAGGGAATGGAAAATGCTGATTTGGTATTACTTTTATCTCAAAAGACAGTCTCTGAAACCAAAGAGTTGGGTGTATAAGGGGTATTTGTGTATTAGCCCAATTTTATTAGAAGTAGTTTCAGATTCATAAGGTATGTTTTTCTTATTTCTAGAAGAATTGAAAGTTGATGGCATAATAGAGAGCAAAGAAAACCAACACAGACATTATGGCAAGATGATTACGGAGAAAGAGAATGTATTAAGGAAAACATTTAATCTGTACATAGACTCTATTCCTTCCAGAAAAATGTCCAGTAAATATAATCTAGATGGAGTCAGTTTAGAAAATATGTCGGAGTTAACCACTAATAATAAAAACTACTCAGGAAAGAAATCCGATGATGCCAATGGGTACAAGAAATTGCTTCCTGATATTAATCATGAGAAAACTCATACTAGAGAGAAGTTTAATGAATTTAATAAAAATGAGAGCATCTTCTATCGTAATGAGGATTTTATTCAGCAACAAAAGATTCACACTGTGGAGCAACTGCCTGAATATAATGAATGCATTAAAACCTTCCACAATAATGCTCTCTTCTTTACACATAAGAGAACTCACACAGGAGAGAAATTATGTGATTATAATAAATGTGAGAAAACTTTCAGGGATGAGTCAAACCACATGCTACGTCAGATAATTTACTCAAGGAAGAATCACTATAAATTTAATGAATGTGGGGAAAGCTGTGATAAGTCAGCCCTTTGGAAGAAACGTCCTAGAATTCACATGGGTGAAGAGTGTGAGAAATACCATGAGTGTGATGTATGTGGGAAAACCTTCCTCCGGAAGTCAAACCTCACAATACATCACAGAATACACACAGGAGAAAAACCCTATAAATGTAATGAATGTGGGAAATCCTTTTACCAGAAGTCAACCCTCACTGTACATCAAAGAACTCATACAGGAGAGAGACCCTATGAATGTGCTAAATGTGGGAAAAAATTCTACCAGAACTCAGCCCTCCATCAGCATCAAAGAACACACACAGGGGAGAAGCCTTACAAATGTAGTGAATGTGGAAAATCTTTCTCCCAAAAGTCAGACCTGACTGTGCATCAGAGCTCTCACACAGGGGAAAAACCTTATAAATGTAACAAATGTGACAAGTCCTTTAGTATAAAGTCAAAACTCACTGTACACCAGAGAATACACTCAGGGGAGAAGCCCTATGAATGTAGCAACTGTGGGAAAATGTATCATATGAAGTCAACCCTCATTAAACATCAAAGACTTCACACAGGGCAGAAGATATATGAATGCAGTGAATGTAGGAAGACCTTCTGTGGGAAGTCAGTTCTCCTTAAGCATCAGAGAACTCATACAGGGGAGAAACCTTATGAATGTGTAGAATGTAGGAAAACCTTTTCTGAGAAGTCAACCCTCAGTAAACATCGGAGAATTCATACCGGCGAGAAACCCTTTGAATGTAACAAATGCGGGAAGTCCTTCTGCCAAAAGTCACAACTCATTGAACATCAGAGAATTCATACAGGGGAGAAGCCCTTTGAATGTAAAGAATGTAGGAGAACATTTTGCCAGAGGGCATCCCTCAATGTACATCAGAGAACACACACAGGAGAGAGGCCCTATGAATGTAACGAATGTGGAAAATGTTTTTATGATAGTTCGACCCTCACTAAACATAAGAGGATTCATTCAGGGGAGAAACCCTATAAATGTAATGAATGTGGGAAGACCTTCAGCCACAAAGCAACTCTCACCACACATCAGAAAATACACAGAAGAGAAACACTGTAAAGATGGATGGTGAAACACCGTCTTGCTGTAACTCAGAACTGTTGGCCTGACAGAAGGTATACCGAAGGAAGTAACCCTATGGTTGTAATGAATGTGGGAAGTCCTGCCGGAAGTCAGCCTTCAATTTACATCATAGAACTCACACAGGGGACATCCCTGGCAGTGTTTTTACCAAACTGGGCACAGAGCAAGTCTTTATTTCTCTGCAGCTTTTTGCATTCAGGTGGGATGATGTGCATGAGATCTGGCCAATGGGCTGTGAGTATAATGTAATTCACTTCTGGTCTGACACATAATGGCCTCCATGGCAATTCTTTGTATTCTATGTTCTCTACGGAGTAGGATGTAGAATGCCTTCTGATGAGAGGTCAGCACTCACTGTGTTGGTGAACTCACACAAGGGTAGAAATTTCTGTCAACATCTTTTTTTTTAAGATTTTATTTATTTGACAGAGAAAGACAGCAGGAGAGGGAACACAAGCAGGGGGCGTGGGAGAGGGAGAAGCAGGCCCCCCACTGAGCAGGGAGCCCGACGTGGGGCTCGATCCCAGGACCCCGGGATCATGACCTGAGCCGAAGGCAGATGCTTAACGACTGAGCCACCCAGGCGCCCCTCTGTCAACATCTTGATCTTTAGAAATCTAATCCACAAATGAAACTTATTGTAACTGGAGAAATCAGAGTTAAGAAATCTTGGTATTGCAACAAATTTAAAAACTTTACAAAAAGGTATTATCTCATTGAACCTCAGGTAAACTAATAGACTAAGACTGTATAAGCACATGGTTTCTGAAAGCTTTGAATAAAACATTGTATTTCAGAGAATTATTACTGAGGGAAACAATTTAGAAAATACAGAAATTTTTTTCTTTAGAAAAAATTTTTAAGTTGTAACATAGGAAATACAGAGGCCAAGTATATATTTTTCACATTTAGCACAACTCTGAATTTAGGAAAGCTGCTATGAACAGTAAGCTCATTGTACTTACCACCATAAAATGTGTTCATTAAGAAAACAACCCCATCTCTGAATATCCTGAAATGTTTACTTGGGGAACCTAAGTAGGTTTGAATGTGCCAAACCCAACTTAGATGTAACCTGGGAACTATGTGTATAGTAACGTTCTTTACCTTTACTTCTAGCATTGGCAACCATGATATGGTGCAGGTGTTGGCAAACATTTTCTGTAAAAGGCCATATAGTAAATACTTTAACCTTACAGGCCACAGTGCTTTTTGTCACTTTTTTTTTTTTTTTTTACAACCTGTTAAAAATGTAAAAAAAAAAAATCATTCTTAGCTCATGGGCCATTGAAAAACAGACTTGGCCAGATTTAGTTTGTGGACCATAGTTTGTGGACCCCTGATATAGTGGTTAAAAGCATGGACTCTGGAACTATACTTGCTAGGCTCAGGTCCCAGTTCGGCTGCACATTAGCTGTGTGGCCTGGGACAAATCCCTTAACGTTTGTTCCTCAGTTTCCTTTTTTGCAAAATGATGATATTGACATTACCACATGGAGTTCTAGTAAGGACTAGGTAAGTTCATGAATATAAAGTACTAAACCACTGTATAGAATGCTACACGTGTTAGCTATTATATGACTGGCAACAGATTTGTTGGAGCTTTTACAGGCTTTTGATTACCTACTCAACAGCTGTTCCTCACTCCATGCCAGAAGATTCAGGAAATGAATGATGATTGATCTAACCTAATTTTTTCCAGCTTATTGAGGCATAATTGACAAAATTGTAAAATATTTAAAGTGTATAATATAGTAATTTATACATTGTAAAAGGATTCCCCCATCAAGTTAATTAAGGCAACTGTCACCTCATATATTTACCAGCCCCAGCCCCGCTTTTTGGTGAGAACATTTATTTGGTGAGAACATTTCCACTCTCAGCAAATTTCAGTTATATAATACAGTGTTACTAACTCCAGTTACCATGTTATACATTAGCTCCTCATGCTCTAACCTAATTTTGAAAAATGTATCCTGATTAATGATTTGTTTGAAATAAGCATCTGACCCAGCTCTGGCCAGTGAAAAACTCTGAAGAATATTCAGTGAAATATGGGAAAACAGGATTTCCCAGTGGTTAACAAACATTTGATTTAAAAAAAACAAACAAAAAACCTTTGATTTTGCTGGATATTTCTATGTCTGGATGTGATATCTGATTGTAGTTTTTGATCCTAAGGTAGTATCTGAGAATGGCAGAACACAAACCTGGAAAGAGGTTGAGTCAACAGCGTCTTTTGAGCAGGTGAATCAACCAACCCTGGAGCTTCTTTATATGAGATATATTTTTTTCTAATTATACTAGTTGGGATTTTCTGTTTCTTAGAGCTGAAAGTGGTTTAACCAACTTACAGATAGACCTTTTTGAAGAGGTATTAATTCAGAAATACTAACATTTATAAGCCTCCGGAGAGGACATTTTCTCATGAGAAACTGATTCAGGGGTGGCTGTTTTTCAGCCCTGTAAATCTCCATATAGGGAGCCCAATCATTAGAAATAAAGCTATTTGTTACTTTAGCATATGAAACAAGTGTCTAATTCATTGAGTTTTTGTTGCATCTGTACAAGAAAAGCACTTAGAAAATCATTACCTCATGTATGCCTTACATTTAAAATATGTGAAATAAACATTAAGTTAAATTTAATTGTCCATTGATCTGTCTCTGTGTTACTGCTTGATTAGATAAGATATGAAATAAGGATCTAATGTTTTCCCAAATGAATAATCAGTTCTCAACACCGTATGATTGAAGTTTGAAGTACCATCTTTATCAGGTGCTAAATTATTTGTAGGGAGTATTTTTATAGCTCAGGACTCCATCCCTGTATTTTCTTTAGTAACCAGCTTGCCTTCATGAAATAGGAGCTGGTAGATCTCCTGAAGATTCCACATCCTCTTGGCTTCACATTTATTCCTGGGAAGGACATTTGATCCAAATGGGCCAATAAGAGCCCTACGTGGGATTTTTGTAAAAGGAGAACATCATGTTTTGTGGTTGGTGACCTGGGACTTCTAGCAGCCATGAGAAGGTGTCTGCATGAAGAAAAATAGTTAACATGTAGAAACATTTAAGAGAGAATCTTGATGTTGCACAAGGTCAATCAGTGCTTGACTCCCTTGTTCTATATATTCCATAGATACACACTGGCATGTTTTTCTGGTTTCATTATTAAGCCAACAAATGTTAACATTCTCTGTACCATGATCAGTTTCTGATTTGTTTCACTAAATTCTTTGTTTATGCTCATGCCAAAGGTAATGGTTTAATTAGTATGGCTTTTTAATGCTTTTTATTATAGAGTAAGTCCTTTCACCCATAATTATACAATTAATCTTCAGCAAAGGAGGAAAGAATGTGCAATGGGAAAAAGACAGGCTTTGTTGAAGTAAGAGTTAGTGAGGTATAATTTTACGTAAAATCAAATTCACCATTTTAAAAGTGTACTGTTTTGAGTTTTTACAAATACATGCCACTGTGTAACTACCATCATGCTCAGCCACTGGGAGCCACTGATCTGTTTCTGCCCCTACAGTTTTACCTTTTCTAAAAGGTCATGTAAATGGAATCATGGGTTATGTAATCTTTTATGTCTATATAAATGCTTTTGAGATTCATCCATGTTCATGCATCAGTAGTTTGTTACTTTCTATTGCTGAGTAATAATCTATTGTATGGCTGTGCCACAGCCTGTTTATCCATTCACCTATTGAAGGTCATTTGACTTATTTTCAACTTCTGTTATGAATAAGCCTCTTATGAACATTCCATAGAAGTCTTTTTGTGGACACAGATTTTCATTTATCTTGTGTAAATACCTATGAGTAGTGGCATTGGATCATATAAATGTACAGTATTTGCTTATTATTTCATTCCAATTTCTCTCAGATTAAAAGAAAAAGTTATGGAAGCACTGTGTACTGGTTAGGATTAATTAAAAAGATCACACATGAATATCCTAGTAAGAATTTTGAACTTTAAGATCAGAAGTTTCCAAACAAAATCAGTCACTTAGAAGGAATAATGAATCATGATCTTGTTTGCTTTTTCAAGATCAATAGGAATATTACAACATTTAAAGATATTTGACAGAAATGGACTATATGCGAATGACTCAGTATCTGTTCAAAAGTGCCTGTGGGAAGGGAAAAGAAAAGACTTGGAAAGTGTACTTTAAAAATGTAAATTTCAGAGGGAATTTCTGAGTAAACATACAGAGCCCAATTAAGTTATATCAAAAACACTAATGGGGAAATTGCAAGAGAAAATCTAGTAGAAATTATAAATTTCAAAGGATGATAATGATTGCATTATATTTGTAAGTGTTAAATGATTTATGAATAGGATTTACTCTAAGGAATATGTATTAGGCAGGATTTTTGTTGCATGAGGCTCCTTTGAGCAGAAGAGCTTAGTTTACAGATAGAGGAAATTGGAATAAATACTGTGGTGTTGCATTGTTACCAACATGAATTTATGCATAGTTTCTAATAATAGATAAAAGTAAATATACAGAAGTGCACATACGGAAGTATACAAACCCACGTTTCTTAGCTCTGTCCACTAGAGATGGCACAGTAGCAGCAAAAAGTAGAAATAGACATAGCTAGTTCCTACATTTTCGTATCTAAACACCGTTCTTCACTAAAAGGAACCAGAGTTCTTAGAGAAATAGCTGATTCCAGGAGTGGTTCGGGGAAATTACATGATGAGCCCGGAACATTTCTTGTGTGAGAAAGAAATGATAAAGAATAATGGGACCACATCAAAAGAACATGGCTTAAAAACAAAGGGACTTCCACTGGCAGATTCTGGGACAATGTAAGAATTGAAATAATTGTACAACATTGAGCAAAATAGGAATCCAGGAGTCTATACTAATATAAATGGATAAATGGGGAAACGAACATGTTTTTCCTTACAGAATAGTATCAATAAATGTAGAAGGAAATAATAGAACTGAGAAATTACCAT